ACCTAAAAAATATCATTTTGTTAAATTTAGTAACAGAATTCAAGAAGGGCGGAGCCCCATTAGGTCCAATGCGGGCATCCGCATTGAACTTTTGGGCTCCAGTAGGCCCAAAAATTAATTTTTTTAAAGCCTGGTAAAATTTCCAACCCAGATGGAAGCCCAATTGCCCACAGCCCATGACCCGTTTACCGACCCAGACCCGGAATGTTGATTCAAATAATTCAATTAACCCGTTTCATTGAAATCAAAACCAAACCAAACCTTTAATCGTGTCTCTCTCCATCTCTCGACTCTCGCCTGCTTCTCTCGAAACTCCACCCTTGACTCACCGGCTACTTCTACTTCCAGTCCACCGGTGGCCGACATCTCCTAGATTAGGGGCTTTAATCTCTGACCCTATAAGTGAATCAAATATCCCCAAACTCGAAACCCCAATCCTCCCCTACCCAAGTCCACAGACCGCAACTGCCATTGCCTCCCGCCAGGCACTACCGCACCAGCTGCCGCCTCTAAAGAAGGTAATTAGATGTAGAAGACAGTATTTCTAGGCTAGCAATAACTATCACTTTCTTCTCAGTTGACTGCAACTTGGGCAGAAAGATAATTTGAATGAATTACATCTTGGCTTGACAATTTGGCCTTTGAGAGCTCGAGAACCTGAACATTTCTGGCCCTTTGTTCTGATTTTTGTTTTTGCGTGATGGCTATTCGACAAGCAGACCAAATAAAAGCACTTGTAATTATGATATTCTAACTGCATTTTCATATTTCATTTTTTGCAGATGTAGCTTCTATTTGCACCACTGTGAAGGTTCTACAGTGCAGATTTCACCCAAGGAAAACTTGGTAGGTGAATTGATATTGTGAAATTGGATTGATAGTGTGAAATTGTGAATTAGTATAAATTGCATTGTGAATTTGCGATTTGGAAGGTGAATTGATATTGTGAAATTGGATTGATAGTGTGAAATTGTGAATTGTGAATTAGATTGTGAAATAGTATAAATTGCATGGTGAAATTGCGATTTGGAAGGTGAATTGATATTGTGAAATTGGATTGATAATGTGAAATTGTGAATTGGATTGTGAAATAGTATAAATTGCATTGTGAAATTGCAAATTGGAAGGTGAATTGATATTGTGAAATTGAATTGATAATGTGAAATTGTGAAATGTGAATTGGATTGTGAAATGTGAATTGCACTGCGAATTGAGATTGTGAAATTGTGAATTTATGATTCTTTTGGTATTATGAATTATTCTCACTCACTCTCAATAATAATTGAATATCAAATGTTTAAATTGAGATATCAAATGAATAGATACTTTCAACGAAAAAGGAACATAGATAATATTGATGATGGGTATCGAATAATGTGGAATTTAATGTCACAAAACTTCCAACTGATCCTGGTCTAAGGATACCCATTTTGGATTACAATGCTAACATCCGAGATAAAGTTCGAAGAGCATATATGTTAAAAGGTCCTTGTCAGTCCCAAGATCATGACTTTCCAAAACGACAATTTGGAGTAACAATTAGACAATTCAATCCTTCGTGATTTAAAGAGTTCAGTAGTTGGTTGGAGTACAGTGTAGAAGGATGCTGCTTATTGTTTGTATTGTTATCTTTTCAAAACAAGTTTTGGAAAGCAAGGTGGAGGTGAGTCTTTTGTTGGCGAAAGTTTTACATATTGGAAAGATAAAAAAAGACTTCATACTCATGTTGGACTTCATGATAGTGCACATAATCAAGCTCGCATTAAGTGTGAAGTGTTGATGAATCAAGAGCAACACATTCAATCAGGTTTTTACAAACAATCAGAACATGCAAGAAGTGCATATGTTACACGTCTTAATGCATCCATTGATTGTGTTCGACTTCTTTTACGACAAGGGCACTCATTTCGAGGTCATGATGAATATGAGGATTCTCTCAATCCAGGTAACTTCTTAGTGCAATTGCAATTTTTGGCTGCTCATAATGAAGTTATTAATACCGTCACATTGGGAAATGCTCCTCACAATTGCAAATTGACATCACCTGATGTTCAAAAGGATATAGTAAATGCTTGTGCTATTGAAACGATCAATGTTATTATCAAAGATGTTGGCGACTCACTATTTTCTATTCTAGTTGATGAATCTCGTGATTTGTCAATGAAGGAGCAAATGTCTATTATTTTACGTTATGTAGACAATAGTGGGCATGTCAATGAATGCTTCATAGGGATTGAACATGTTACAAGTACCACGGCTCTATCACTTAAGGCCGCAATTGATAAGGTATTTTCTAGATATAACTTGAGCATATCTAGATTGAGGGGATAAGGTTATGATGGAGCAAGTAATATGCAAGGTAAGTTTAATGGTCTGAAAACACTAATTTTGAAGGAGAGTCCATGTGCCTTTTACATTCACTGTTTTGCTCATCAACTTCAACTTGCGTTTGTGGCTATGGCAAAGAAGAACATCCCTATTACTAACTTCTTTCGTGTGGTTGGGGGCACGGTAAATACCGTTGGAGCATCTTCCAGACGTTGTGATCTTCTTCGAGAAAAACAATTAGACTTTATTGTTGAGGCATTGGAAAAATGTGAGATTTTAAGTGGACAGGGACTTAATCAAGAAACGACCCTTCAGCGCTCTGGTGATACACGATGGAGTTCACATTATAACTCTTTGGTCAACTTCCTTGCCATGTTCTTTTCTGTTTTAGATGTACTTGCAATGATTGTTGAAGATGAATTTTGTTCTTGTGATCAAAGATCTGATGCAACAAATTTATTGGAGTCGATACAAAAATTTGATTTTACATTTAATCTACAGTTGATGAGAAGTGTGTTGGGGATGTCAAATGAACTGTCAAAGGCATTGTAAAGGAAAGATCAAGATATTGTGAATGCAATACAATTGGCTAGATTATGCAAATGACGACTCCAAATAATGAGAGACGAAGGGTGGGACTCCTTTTTGGAAGAAGTATGTTCTTTTTGTCAACAACATTATATTCATATACCCAACATGGATGATATATTTGTACGCCTTGCATTTCGTGGTCGCCCTCAGCGTAATTCTCCAAAAATTACAAATTTACATCATTACCGAGTAGATTTATTCTATTCTGTCATCGATTTACAACTTCAAGAATTGAATGATCGTTTCTCGGAGGTAAATACAGAGTTACTCCTTTGTGTAGCTTGTTTATGTTCACAAGAGTCATTTTCTTCTTTTGACAAGAAAAGCTTGATTAGACTTGCTGAGCTTTATCCATTAGATTTCTCTGTAGTAGATGTCATTGTACTTAACGATCAACTTGAGACTTATATTTTTGACATGCGTTCTAACAAAGAGTTTGAAGGGTTGAATGACCTTGGTGATCTTGAGAAGAAGTTAGTTCTGACAAAGAAAGATAGGGTATATCCATTGGTGTACAGACTTTTGACTTTATCATTAATTTTACCGGTTGTTACTGCTACGGTGGAGAGAGTCTTTTCTGCAATGAGTATTGTAAAGGATAGATTGCGCAATCGGATGGGTGATCAGTGGATGAATGATAGCACAATTGTTTATATAGAGAAAGATATATTTTTGAAGCTTGATAATGAAGTTATTGTACGACGATATCAAA